CTCGAGTATAGCAGGGATTGTGGGGCTGGTGCGGGATCGGGCAGTGTTTCGTTCTGCTGTGCATGGGGTCGCTATGAGTCAGAAACGACTCGACGGCACTTAACAACAACACAACAACATACATACATATATATATGAAATTCCAATTCTTTCTCTTGGGAGTTCAAGAAAAAAACTTACTATAATATTTGGTAAATGAAAGAAACTCTAAGACACCATCCTATTTCACCAACCCAGTTATCTGCTAGATAAATACGAAGATAAAATGATGTAACAGAAATTTTCAGAAAAAAATCTTTGTGACAGTTTGCTCTCATCACAAGCTTACCTATGATTTTGTAAAAGCAGGAATCAGAACTTACTTATAACTCTGTATCTAGTGCTTACTCAATAAAGTGCTTGTGAAATTAATAAAGAGTGAATTTCAGTGCCCATGATTCAGAAAATAATTATGTGAATCATGGTAAGATAAGAAATTACCAAACGTATAATGGAACTTTTTAAGAAACTCCAAAAATCACACAAAGTAGTTATTAATACCAGCAGATTATGATACGGTCTTTTCCTTTGGACAATTAAATCTATGCAACCTGTTTGAAAGTGAGAAAATCCAGTCAGACTCCAAATTTAGGCAGAGCCAAGTGACAGTTAGCTAAAATTAGGCTTATGATATAGAACCAACTAACTACACATAGACATTTTTAGCCTTTTAACTAAATTATTCTATTCACTCTTTATACTACTTTCTGGAAAACATTCAGGCCCACAACAATAAAAATGAGTTAGGCACAGTAAACCAGTTAATTGTAAGACAAAGTTATAGACAAGCTTTCTGCATTACTACCTGACTAGCTTTTAAATTTCTGTACATCCTGACATATTGGTCTGACTGCAAATTGGGAGTCATCCCTGTACTGTGATGGTAGCAGTGGTAGTACTTGGTAGTGCTTTAGAGTTTACAAGGCATTTTCAAATACATCATCTCCCTGGGATCCTCAAAATAGCTTTCCACGTATTACCATTACCCTTCAACTTAAAGATGAACTCAAAGGGCCTAAGGTCACATCAGCTGGTAAGTTGCCAAGTTGAGACATTAACTCTTCAAATTCTAAATGTGATGAAATGTGTATGTGGTGTATGCAGCATATATAATTATATATAATTACAACATTTATTATTTGGGAAGAGTGATGGTTTTAAATAAAGTTATCATCATTAAGAAAACAGGGAATTCAGAAGTAAAATTTACCTTTTCTGGATATTGATGTGGTCCATAAACATTGCTGCTTCTTGTGATGACAACTGGAAACTTAAGAGAATTCAACATTAAGATAAGAAAGATCCAATGATAATGCTTCTTTTAAAGACAAAGAGAACTTTATACATGGGTGACTTGCCTAAATAATTCCATATATATCTTAAGGAGAGAAGTAAAGGGAGAGGATGGGATTCAGATAAAGGCAAAGTACTAAGAAGAACATTTTCTATTGGGACTAGGGGATGATGAGTATAGATGGAGGCAAGTCTGTAAGTTCAGTAGCAGAAGATTGAGGATGTTTCCATTTGATTAATTCAGCAACCACCTCCAGGATTATAGGTTTGGTTAGAAGCTAAACTTCAAGTTGGCTCTCTTGCACCAACCCTTACCAACAGAAAGAGCTGCTACCAAAGGGAAAAGGACAAATGCTACTAGAACACAAAACGCATTCATTCCTTGCCTTGCCTTTCTGACCCAGTCTCTAATAACTCTAGAGGAAGATCAGTGGAAAGCCAAATGAAGGGAATTAAAATTGATGTTGCATGTGGGTAAGGGTCCCTCATGAACAGGACCCTCATGCCACCTCGGGCAAGTCTACCTCCTATTCATGAGGAACCAAGAGAACAGAATCATGCAATAAGAACCCACTGCAGCCAAGTGATTTGTTCTTCCACCACTCAGAAGATTCCTGGAAACCAGAATATTCCAGAAGGACTTTCACTATAACTGTAATGTTCTATTACTGAAATAGAAGAAAAATATATACAAATTGTTCCTTTAAATGATGACCTGAACAAGAAGAAGTCGGTCCCACTTTGTCTATACAATACAGGAAATGCGTTGTTTTTTTAAGTTCCTTAACACATACCTTTTTTCACAATATAGACCTTATAATCTAAAAATAAAAAAATGACATACTACTAATGCTGACTTGGAGTTTTAACACCTAAGCGCTCCCAAAATAAAAGGATTAAAAAGTTTCTCAAATCAGCTTTTACCTTATATCGTTCCCAGTAAGACTGTACAAAACACTCAGCGGCTGCTTTAGAGGATGCATAAGGATTTGTAGGTTGTTTGGGTGAAGATTCATCAAATTCCTAATTTAAAAAAGACATATTTAATAAATATTATGTATAATTTCTAACTAGAAAACATGTTACAACTTGAAATGTTAATCACTGTGATTTAAAAACCATTTATTGAACTCTAATTATGTGCCTGACATTTTTCTAAACACTTTACATGGATGAAGTAACATCCTGCATCCTCCTAACAACCCTGTAAGACAGGCAGAGAGAACAGCAAGTATAAAGCCCTGAGGCAGAAGGACCCTCTAAGGAACCATTAGGCAGCCTGTGTGCCACAGCAGTTACCAGGGGAAGGAGAAATGGTAGATGAGGTCAGAGGGAGGCAGAACATGTCAAATCCTGAGGCCACTGTAAAGACTTAGACAGGTGTTGAGCAGAGTAATGCCATGATCTGACTTATATGTGAAAACTTCATTCTGCCTACTGTATCAGATCTGAAGGAGGATGGAAAGGGTACAAGAAGGAAGTGTACGTGATAAAAATAGTGGAGATTTGAAAATGGTTGCTTCTCAGAAGCAGTATGTAGATTGGAGACGTGATTTTTTTTTTTCCATTGTAAGTCTTTTAAATTATTTGATTATTCTTACTATGTACATGTACTGGATTTTAAAATAAAAAAATAAAGCTAAACCAAAATGAGGTATAAATATAGACTAAAAAATACAGACTGGAGAAGGGAGCCAATTCTTTTTTTCTTTTGGTATGAAAATATAACATTAAGAATGATTTAATAAAAACAAAAAAAGACCAGATTTTAGGCTCTAAAATAATTTCACACTCAGTCCCTGACATTCCAATATGCTTCCCTGAATGAAAGAGAAAGGTGAGCAGTTGTGGCCACCACTGTGAGGCAGTCCACAGCTGCTTAACTCACTTATGTTTTAGACCATGGGAATGATGTTCATCAGGTATGTTAGATAAAAAAGTAAGATTTGCTGCTCTCTTCTAATATATATAATCAGTCAATTCACGTATAAATCAGTAGTCCCAAGACTAGGCTGCTGTTCCCCATCGAGGTGGCATTATTTTACTTGAACAGAAGAGACAATGGAATTAACATTTTTGAGATTCTCCCAAGTGTGTACAATTAGAGGATGAAAAAAGCCCACAGTAGGTTTTAAAACAGGTTTTATTGTAGTACAGGGCAAATAAATGAAATACATATTTTCTAAGCTTACCTTATCAAGACTGCCTCCATACACTTCATCTGTGCTGACATAAATGAATTTCTCCACTCTGGCTTCATAAGCAGCACTTACCAAAACATGAGTGCCATAAACATTAACATATGTAAACTCAAAGGCACGTACAAATGAAAGATCTAAATAAAAAGAGAAAAGCGCTAAAACCTGTCCAATCAAGGACAAAGCAACACATCACATATTTAGGTTTAAAGATGGCACTATTCTTTTGTCTTCATTCACCACAACTGCAATCATTTTAGAAAGAAAGTACGAATGCATTGTATTTATTATTTCTTGAAACTTAAAATATATAGGTCTCCAAGGCTGTAAATCTTTACAGAAACAGATTGCCGCATCTTTCTCCCATGGAGCTGCTGGTGGGTTTAAACTGCCAACCTCTCAGTGGCCAAGTGCTTAACCGCTACACCACCAGGGCTCCTTTATGTAAATGCTTAGAACCTAGGAAACTATCAACATGACATTTGCAGGAAACACTGTTCATTCTAAAAACAAGAAGGTAAGAAGCGATACATCTATATGTAAAATGTCCTTAAATTTTAAAGTGCTGTGAAACTTCTGGTTTCTTCTAGCAGAGGGCTAGGCTTTTCAGATATTGCTAAAAACAATAAATGCTGGATGAATTACTTTAAAATAATTCACTTTAAAAAAATTGCTAATAAAGATATAAAAGGTACTTAACCTCATTAAAAAAAAACCTCACTGCCATCGAGTTGGTTACAACTCATAGCTACCCCTCCATTTCTGAGGCAGTATCTCTATGGAAGTAGACTGCCCAGTCTTGATTCTGAGGAGTGGCTGGTAGGTTTGAACCCTCAGCCCTCTGGTTAGCAGTCAAATGCCTTAGGCACTAAGGCCCCCGGAGGTCCTCTCAACCTCATTAGCAATAGAGAAACGCAACTTAAAACCATAATGAGATCCTACTATGCACCACTCAGAGTGGCAAAAATGAAAAAGTCTGACAATACCAGCCTAAAGTGAGATCTGAGCAACAGTCTCAAACCTCTCCCTTCCTACTACCAAAGGAGTGGAAATTGGTACAATTATTTTGAAAATCAGTTTAACATATCACAATGTTGAAGCATGCAAATCTTGTGATCCTAGTTATATGTTTTGATGTTGTTGTTAGGTGCCATCGAATCGGTTTCAACTCAGCAACCCTATGCACAACAGAACGAAACACTGCCCAGTCCTGTGCCAGCCTCACGATCCTTGCTATACCTAAGCCCATCACAGCAGCCACTGTGTCAATCCATCTTGTTGAAGGCCTTCCCCTTCTTCGCTGACCCTCCACTTTACCAAGCATGATATTCTTCTCCAGGGAATGGTCCCTTCTGACAACATGACCAAAGTAGGTGAGACGAAGTCTGGCCATTATTGCTTCCAAAGAGCATTCTGGTTGCACTTTCAGGGCAGATTTGCTAGTTCTTTTGGCAGTCCATGGTACTCTTGGTATTCTTCACCAGCACCACAACTCAAGAGCATCAACTCTTCTTCGGTCTTCCTTGTTTATAGTCCAGTTTTCACATGCATATGAAGTGACTGAAAATTCCATGGCCTGGGTTAGGCGCACTTTAGTCTTCAAGGAGACATCTTTGCTCTTTAGCACTTGAAAGAGTTTTTGCAGCAGATTTGCCCAGTGCAATATGTTGTCTGATGTCTTGACTGCTTGTCTGCTTCCATTGGTGTTGACTGTGGAACCAAGTAATATGAAATCTTTAACAACTTCAATCTTTTCTCCATGTATTGTAATGCTGCTTATTGATCCAGTTGTGACAATTTTCGTTTTATGTTGAGACGTACTCCATACCTAGTTATGTATCTGAGAGAAATGCATGCTGATGTATACCAAGATACACATATACAGATGTACCTTGGTAGTATATGTATCGTGTTTATGTTCAAGAAACATATATCATGTTCATGACAGTATTGTTCAAAATTGCCCAAAAGTGTTAAAAACCTAAATGTCCATTGACAGTAAAAAAAACTATGGTATATTCTTAGAATGGCACTAAAAATGAACAAATTCTATCTACAGACAACTACATGGGTGAATCTACATGGGTGTCAAGCAAACCAAACCAAAGGGGGAAAAAAAACCCTTTAAATGGCTTAAATATATATTTCTATAAAATTAAAAAACAGGTAATATAAACTTATATTGTTTAGGGGTAAATATATAGATGCAAAACTACTGTGGAGAAAAGTAACGGAAATTATTACTTTAAAATCACGTAATAGCATGCTACTACTAAAGAGGGTTCTTTTGTTTAGACAATGGCCACATGGGTATTCATATTATCATTATTTAACTCATTCTTCTGAATATGCATTTCAAAATATAAGTGTTAGACAAATTATCATAAAATATCAGATTCACAAAATGATAATAAAATAATGTTCATCTGTATACTTACTACCCAGCTTGAAAGAAAAAAATACAACATAAAAATACAGTTGAAGGCTATATTCCTCCCCTTCAGAAGTAATCACTATCCTGAATCTGGTTAAACTCAAATTTTAAGATGGCATTCAAGGTTACATTTCAGCGTACACTAATAAAAATTAATTTAAAATGCACCAAGCACATTGATAACCCAGTGGTCACAGGCTTATTTTTCCAGTACAGCACAGTATATTTTCTTTCAAAGATGTATGTTAAATACTTACTTGTTCAACCCCATTTTTGGTCTTTAAGGTAATTAGCCACCGGGGGAAGACACAGCAATCATAACTGTAACATAAAATAATGCTTACCTACGTGTGTTTGCGCAGCAAAATGTAGTACTATATCTATTTTCTGTGTTTCAAAAAGCAATTTCACAAAGTGAGAATCACATATGTCACCCTATATAAAAAAGCAAACATGAAAATACTAAGTTTCATTGAGCATTCCATTCATTATGACCATTTTTACTATATGAACAAAAAACAAAAAACAAAAAACAAACTCATTGCTTGTCAAGTCGATTCCAATTCATAGCCACTCCTCCTTGGGTTTCCAAGGCAGTATCTCTATGGAAGTAGATTGCCCAGTCTTCCTTCTAAGGAGTAGCTGGTGGGTTTGAACTGCCAGCCTTCTGGTTAGCAGTCAGATGCCTTAGGCACTGCGCCACCAAAGGAAAAAACTAATCCCTACCAATATTCCCTCTAGTATCTGCCCTGGACCTAATAAAAAATATCTTAAAAATTCAACCAAATGGTCAGGTATTGTAATTATGTATTTATCTAGCATCTTAGAATATAAAGATATTTAATTCAAAATATTTTTGAAAAATAAGTGTCTGAGACAATATTTTACTGAACACCAACTACCACTAAGCACTGTGCTTGTTTTTTAGTAACATTCTTGCCAACCTAAAGCCACTAATAGGGAAATTTTTATAATACTTACAAGCTTGGAGATAATCTAGTTGAAAAATAGTTAAAGTAAGTGTAAGAAGTGGAATGTTGTTGTTGTTGTTAGGTGCCATCGAGTCATCTCCGACTAGGGACCCTATGCACAGCAGAACGAAACACCACCTGGTCCTGTGCCAGCCAAACAATCCTTGCTGTACCAGAGCCCATTGTTAAAATGGAATGGTATTTTGAAAAACTAAGTAAAATTGTGAGTACTTCTGATATTGTATCTGCATTAATTCATCTAAAAATACCAATTCTCAACAATTCTTTGGTGACTGAAGTAAACTTTCATACAGAACAGAATTATGAAATGGTTACTTAGTATAGTCTTTAAGTTTTGTGGTTAAAAAGAGAGTTAACAGAATGTTAAAAAAAAAATAAAATACAAATCACAAGAAAGTTTCATTTGACAGTAACATTTGCGTTTGCAAATTAATGAACTAGCACTTTGTTCTATACTTCAGATTCTTCTAAAAATGTTTAGTATAAATGAGCCTTCCACAGCCAATCAACTTTCATGGTAGAACACTAAGTTATGAGTTACATGGTAGGCTTTTGGCTACTGGCTGGCCTTTCCAAGTAATATCTCATCTTAAACCAATCCCTTCAAATCCCAGAAAGATCTTCTTAAAGAAGCAACTGAGGACCTAATATCATAAACCCTGTAAATTCAATCAGCTACTCACAGATATATCAAGGAACCAAAAATCACATGTAGCTTTTTACATGGTGTCAATCTAAAAATAGGGTTCTCTAGCACATGGTCCTTCTGGACATAAACTACTTGATCTTTCAAAAGGTCTTTAGTTAGTAAGTGTCCTTTCCAATCCCATATTACATAAGCTTGTAAAGCAGGAAGATACTGTATCTCTGTATTACTAAAGAGATACAATATAATGATTCCAAGAAAACTTTCATACCTGTATAAATTTGTAATTTTGTTTGGTAGAAATGGTTTCAAGATTCTTCAAACTTGCACAATAGTCCAGCTTAAAATGAGAAAGCATAGGGGGAAAACAACACAAAAAGTAATAAATATTAGCTTATCTTATAAAATGCCAATTTATTTTAAAGAACACAAGAACATGTAACACAAGAACATGTTCTCTTAAAGTGTGCTTACTCTTCATGTTTTTAAGTTTCTAACACCTTGTTGTTGTTGTTGTTATGTGCCGTCGAGTCGGCCCTGACTCATAGCGACCCCTCCTTGGGTTTCCGAGGCAGTATCACTACGGAAGTAGGATTGCCCAAACTTACTTCCGAGGAGTCGCTGGTGGGTTTGAACCGCCAGCCTTCTGATTAGCAGTCAAGGACTAACACCTTAATACAGGTAATTTGTTACCTTTTCAAAGTTTAAAAAAAAAATAACTTTTTATAAATCACTACTTATAAAAATGTTCCTATTCGGATTTGCCTCTAACCACAGGTGTCTCAAAGTGTACCATTCCTTACTGGAATGGAAATGTTGTTGTTGTTACACACCATCAAGTAGGACCCGACTCTTAGCGACCCCTTCTTGGGTTTCCGAGGCAGTATCACTACAGAAATAGATTGCCCAACCTTCCGTCCGAGGAGTGGCTGGTGGGTTTGAACCGCCAGCCTTCTGGTTAGCAGTCAAGTGCCTTAGGTACTACGCCACCAGAGCTCGTGAATGAAAACAATTATACCTGTGTTACATACATTGTAACTCATCATACCTATTTCTGCATTAACTATTGGTAAATTGGTATAAGAATGGGGAAAAAAGTCCTGTCCATAATAGTAAGGCAGGCAAAAATTCATTAAGACTTAAAGATTATTCTTTGCCTACACATTTTATGAAATTAAGGTAACTATCTGCATCTTGTATTTAAAGTAAAAAGTCATTTCTGTTTTTACCAATCATTGCATTTAGACTCTCCAGGGAGATTCTAACTACAATTGTAAAATTCTCAAAACTAAACTTAATTTTTTAAAAAATGTTATAAAATTTTCTAGGAGGCGGTGATTATAAAATCAAATAAGCAGGTTGGTGCATAGCAACTCCAAAAAAGGCTAGTAACCACAGAAACAAGAACTAAAAAAAACTAAAACCAAAACCTACCACCAGTGAGTAAATTCTGACTCATAGAGACCATATAGAATAGATTTGCCCTATAGGGGTTCCAAAGGAACTCTAGTGGTGTAGTGGGTAAGGAGGCATTTGGCTGCTAACCAGAAGGTCAGCAGTTCAAATCCACCAGCTGCTCCATGGGAGGAAGATGAGGCAGTAGATTTCTGTAAAGATTTACAGACTTGGACACCCAGTGGGGGTCACCATGTATTGGAATAGACTCGATGGACAGTGAGTATGGTATATGCATGTGTGTATAGGGGTTCCAAGGCTACAAATCTTAAAGGCAGCCGACTGCTACATTTTTCTTCTGGGAGTGGCTGGTGGGTTCAAACCACCTACTTTTCAGTTGACAGATGAGTGCTTTCACCACTGTGCCACCAGGGTTCCTAGCAACCACAAGATTATAAATGTTGGATTTAGAAAAGGTAAAGAATATTTTGTTTTAGCAAAAATACTGTACTTCAAGCTTTTACGTTATGGACTATTACAATAAAAAAGTTTTAAGACTTTATGAAAAGTAAAATCAGCATGAACACATGACTATATAGGCTCCTAAGATGTTCAAAATGACTAAATAAAAAAACTAAAATATCAATGTGATAGGCTTCTACTATTTTTTTTTAATGTAGTGAAGTTTCAGTGCATGAAGGTCATTTTTATAAAACTTACCTTGTCTAGATTTATGATCATATAGTTTGGATAATCTTCTACTAAAGAGACAATCACATGTGATGCACTATAAGAAAAAAATATTTATTGTTGGTAAAAAAAGCTTAACCTTCTCCTTCAGTTCCTGCATTTTTCCCTAAGTTATCAAACAGGAAAACAGTCAAAGATGTCTTTAAAATTTTCCAAGACAACTGAATCAATATAGCTACCGCGAATACACCATTCTCACTAACCTCAGTATTATCTTTATACAAAACTCTATACCTCCTTTAGAATATGAAGAAAAGAGAACTTACTGGTCCTAGGTTTAAGAAAAAAATTACCCAAACGATGCTGTTCATGCCTGCTTTGAGTATAAGAGTAAAGCAGGATAATAAATGTAATGGGTACTGGTCAGGGTAACTGTACTGAAGCAATAATGTGCCTTTTTGGGGACCAAAAGTATAATTATGTAAAAATTAAGTCAGTATAAAAAGTGATGGTGGTCCTAGACCAAACTTTCCAAGGCTTGTTGTTGTTGTTATGTGCCACCAAGTTGGACCCGACTTATAGCGACCCCTCCTTGGGTTTCTGAGGCAGTATCACTACAGAAGTAGATTGCCATTGCCCCACCTTCCTTCCGAGGAGTGGCTGGTGGGTTTGAACCGTCAGCCTTCTAGTTAGCAGTCAACAGCCTTAGGCACTTTGCTATCAGAGCTCCTTTTCCAAGGCTAGTAACAGGTGAAACCATACTGAGTTGTGTATCAGTAGTGGTGCCTAGGTTTCAGGGTGCCCAAAAGTGAAACAGAAGCATAGCTCAGTGAGATGACTCACCAGGTTTTATCATATGTGCCTAAAACATTAGGCTCCCGAGAACAAGCCAGCCCTTGACCAAATCATGAACTCAAGAGTTTACTCTTAGCAGCCCTTTCACAGTTGTTTTTTTTCTAGGGCCCAGCCTTCCTAGACTGTCACTTACACCTCTACCACCCTTTCATGCCCGTGCTCCTCTTCTGATTACCTCCTCCAAGTGATTGTCACATAAGAGGTGATTGAATGTTAATGGCAAACTAAAAGAATCTCCATGTTCCCTCTTCTTCCACTATATACTGAGCTCCCTGAAGGTAGGAGAGTTTCCCAATTGTTGCTCATGCATTCAGCCATTCATCAATTATTGAAGGCCTTTATAAAATGGGCCAGGCAGTCTTCTAGGTGAACAATAGTATCTGCCCTCATCCCATTTACATTCTACAGTAGGGATGCAGGCATTAACAAGTCAACATATAAGTAACAATAACATTTCAGGTAGTAGTAAGTGTACTGGGAAGTCTGGTGGAGTAGAGCCTAAGGTATTTGACTGCTAACCAGAAGGCTGGCAATTCAAACCCACCAGCCACTCCTCAGAACAAAGACTGGGCAACCTACCTCCATAGAGAGAGCACCTCAGAAACTCAAGGAGGGGTCAAAATCAACTTGACAGCATGAGGTTTTTTTGGAGTAAGTGTTATAAAAAAAATAAATACAACAAATTAGTTGAAAGACTATTTTGGATATGATGATCAGGTAAAGCCTCTCTGAATTGAGCGATGAACAGTCTCAGCAAATGGGTAGGAAGTGCAAAGACCTCAGGACAGAAGGAATAAGCTTAATGTATTTCAGGAACTGCAAGAGGGTAAGTGTGGCAAGAACAAAAAAGCAAAAGGTAGGATGGTAGGAGATCGGGTTGGAAGAGTACCACAAATACTAGAACAGTCTTCTAGGTGTGGTAAGGCGTTGGGACTGTAATCTAAGTCTGACAAGAACCACTGTAGTAAAATACTACACACTAAAACCACCGGTTTCTGTGAAGAACAGACTATAAGAAAACAAGAACGGGGTAGTGTGACCAAGGAGGCTACTGTGGTAGTCTAGGCAAAAGATGGTATTATGAACTAGGATAAAATGGGGAGCGTGGGGAGAAGTGGTCACTTTAAGGATATACTTTGAAAGTAGAGGGAGAATACTTGCTGATGAAATGTGGGTGTGAGAAGTTAAGAGGCATCAAACGTCTAGTACAGATTTAGGCACCAAAAAATTGTTATAAATTTGCTGTAAAAAAGAATGACTTCGAATGCAAAAATCATGGGGGGGTCGGGTACCTATATGTACAAGGCCATGCTGTGAGTATTCGTGATTGGGGAGTGAGAGGCCATAGGTGGGGCGCCTACAATAATGTGTGAGCGTTTAGAGAAGCGACAGGTAGTAAGAATCCCGGGTCAAGTCCAAAATCAAACCCACTGCCATGAAGTCGATTCCAAATCACAGTACCACAGGTATTTCTGCCGAGAGCGAGGCGTTTTAAAGAAGTGGCAATTCCAAAGGAACCACGTCTTCGCAGGCAAGGGACGGGAGCGAAGTTAGGATGATTCTGGTCGTCTTAAATCAGCACTCTCCCCATATCAGACATCCAAACCTACTCCCAAAGCTTGCCAAGGGCAAGCAGAACCACAAGGTTGGGGTTTCTGAGAACCAAAGCTCCACCAACAGCGCCGTTACCTACATGAAACCAGCACCCCCGGTCACCAGTAGCCGCTTCGCAAAGTTGCTGGGAGGACCCAACATCTCCGCCCGGCCCGCCGCCGACATCTCCCAGCTCGGAAGCAACTAGCACCGTAAAGCACAGGAACTGAAGACCGTAGGAAAATTCCACCGCGACTTTTTACGACGCGTCTTGCCCGCCCTACCCCCAGCCCCCACTCCCACTCCGATGCGTTAATGGGGAGCTCAGCAGCAGCTTCCGGAGCGTGGCGATGTGACAGATTTATCCACGCCCAGTGGTGGAATGGGTGGTGACCTCGGTGCATGGGCCTCGGGAGGCGCAGCAGAGTCTAGGAGCTTGCGCTGGTCTCCCTCAGTAATGAGTGGCTGGCAAAGAACGATTGGGGAGAGCGGGAAAGCTGAGTCAGAAGAGTTTTCGGCTCAGGTATTCCCAGCGGGGGTTTATGCTTGATTTAGACCATAGATGATCGGAGTTACGAATGAGCACATGGTTTTCATTCTGACACTACAACAATCTCTAAAGATTACACACCAATTGAGTAGAACTTTCAGGAGTTCTCTTGGCAAGTGTGGAGATGGGGAGGTTGGAATTGAAAATGACCTTTTACTGTTCGGATTTTTGTTAATGTTATTATTACAATCAAAACAGGCTGATTGCAATAATGGTAAAGGTATTTCCTAGATCCTACCTTTAGATCTTATCTTACAGTTTTCCTCTTTGCTTACTCGGTCGGCCCCACCCACCTCCTCTGTATTCACCTGAAATCCCCAGGCAATCTACCTTGCCAGGGCCAGAGAGCTTTTTCCTCGCATGGTTTTTACCCATCTCAGCTCAGATGTCACGATTGGATTCCTCCTTACCACCACAATTAAAATAACAAGCTCCACTCCAGCGCTGCCCAACCACTTTACCTTTCTTTATTTTTCTCCGTAGGCTTTGTCAACATATTTGTGTAATTGTTGACACTTTGTTTGGATATGGACTTTGTTTTGTTTGTTGTTAGGTGCCATTGAGTTGTCGCCAATTCATAGCGACCCTTTGCACAGCAGAAACCCTACCCAGTCTCATGCCAGGTCCACGATCTTTGCTATACTTGAGCCCATTGCTGCAGCCACTGTATCAATCCATCTTGTTGAGGGCCTTCCCCTCTTTCGTCCACCCTCGGACTTACCAAGTATGACATCCTTCTCCAGGGTAGGTCCCCTCTGACAACATGACCAAAGTAGGTGAGATGAAGTCTGGCCGTTTTCGCTTCCAAGGAGCATTCCGGCTGCACTTCCTCCAGGACAGATCTGTTAGTTCTTTTTGCAGTCCATGGCACCTTCAGCATTCTTCACCAGCACCACAACTCAAAAGCATCAACTCTTCCTTTGCCTTCCTTATTCATTGTCCAGCTCTCACACGCATACGAGGAGATTGAAATATACCATGGCTTGTGTCAGGCATACCTTAGCCCTCAAGGAGACATCTTTGTTCTTCAGCGCTTGAAAGAGGTCCTTTACACCCATTTGCCCAGTGCTATATGTAGGAGCTCTGGGAGCATAATGCTTAAGGCACTTGACTACTAACCAGAAGTCTGGTGGTTCAAACCCACCAGCCGTTACTCAGAAGGAAGGTTAGGCAATCCTACTTCCATAGTGATATCTGCCTTGGAAACCCAAGGAGGGGTTGCTATGAGTCGGGGTTGACTCGACGGCAAACAACAACAACAACAACAGTAGCTAATGAGGGAGCTCTGGTAGCATAGTGCCTAAGGCACTTGACTGCTAACCAGAAGGCTGGTGGTTCAAACCCACCAGCCATCCTTGGAAGGACGATGGGGCAATCTACTTCCATAGTGATACTGCCTTGGAAACCCAAGGAGGGGTCTGTATTAGTGGGGTCCGAGTTGATGGCACATAACAACAACAACAGTAGCTAATGAAAGCTAGTATTTCTTCATATGTTAGTTAGTCACCTGAATGTCTATTTTGGTGAAGTGTCTGTTCACATACTCTGCCCATTTTTTAAATTGGGTTATTTGTCTTTTTGTTTCTTTTTTTGTTAAGTTGTTGAAATTTCCTGTAAATTTAAAGATTGTCCAATATGTCCTTGTCCAATATGTTGTTGCCAAAAATTTTTCCCAGTCTGTGGGTTCTCTTTTTGTGAAATCTTTTGATGTGTGTGTCTAATTTTTAGGAGGTCCCAGTCATCTATTTTGTCTTCTAATATTTGTGCACTTTTACTTATATTCAGTAGTGTATATGCCCTGAATTAGGGCCCCTAAGTTTGTTCCTATTATTTTCTTTTATGGTGTTTATGATTTTAGGTTTTATATTCAAATCTTTGATCCAATTTTAGTTCGTTTTTGTATATGGTGTGAGATATGGGTCCTGTTTCATTTTTATGCAAATGGATGTCTAGTTTTGCCAGCACCATTTATTAAAGAGACTAACTTTTCCCCCATTTAATGAATTTTGGCCCTTTGTCAAAGATCAGCTGTCCATAGGTGGATGGATTTATTCTGGGTTCTCAATTCTGTCCTGTTGGTCTATGTGTCTGTCGTTGTACCAGTACCAGGCTGTTTTAACTACTGTGTCTGTATAGTAGGTTTTGAAATTGGGCGTGGGGCGGGGTGGGGGGAGATTTGAGGCCTCTTGCTTTGCTCTTCTTCTTTCCTCAACATTCTAAAATAGTAAACCCACAAGTTTATTCCTGGTCAGCCAGAGATACTGAAAATGCTGAGCAAATAATCTGAAAAACTGGACTATATGAAGAACATGCCATCAGGATTGGAGGAAGGCTCATTAACAACCTGCAATACACAGACAATACACCTTTGCTTGCTGAAAGTGAGGATGACTCTAAGCACTTACTGTTGAAGTTTGAAGACTACAGTCTGCAGTCTGGATTACACCTCAATATAAAGAAAACAAAAACTCTCACAACTGGACTAATAAGCAGCATCACAATAGATGGAGAAAAGATTGAAGTTGTCAAGGACTTTATATTACTTGCTTTTGCAATCAATGGAAACAGCAGTCAAGATATAAGACAACATATGTTGTTGTAATAAGCAGCATCACAATAGATGGAGAAAAGATTGAAGTTGTCAAGGACTTTATATTATTTGCTTTTGCAATCAATGGAAACAGCAGTCAAGATATAAGACAACATATAGCACTGGGCAAATCTGCTGCAAAGGACCTCTTTCAAGTGCTAAGAGCAAAGTTGTCTCCTTGAGGACTAAGGTGTGCCTGACATAAGCTATGGTATTTTCAATCGTCTCATACGCATGTGAGAGCTGGAAAATAAAAAGGAAGACCGAAGAAGAGTGGATGCGTTTGAGTTGTGCTGGTGAAGAATGCTGAAAGTACCATGGACTGCTAAAACTAACAAATCTGTCCTGGAAAAGGGCAGCAGGAGTGTTCCTTGGAAACGAGAACGGCCAGACTTCGTCTTACCTACTTAGGTCATGTTGTGAGAAGGGACCATTCACCTGAGAAGGATATCATTCTTCTTTAAGGTGGAGGGTCAACAGAAATGGGGAAGGTCCTCAAAGAGATGGATTAACACAGAGGCTGCAATGATGGGCTTATGTATAGCAGGGATCATGAGGCTGGCACAGGTCTGGGCAGTATTTCATTCTGTTGTACATAGGTCTCTTATGAGTCAGAGGTGACTCAATGGCATCTAACAGCAACAACAACAACTATAGGAGGGCTTCCACTGGTTTTTTTTTTTTTTTTCCTAAATGGTGGGATATGAGATATATCTGTTGTGAGAATTACATGTAATAAAAGCTTATTTCATTAAAATATATATATATACATTAATTCATGAGATAATTTTGAGCTACTACTTTATCAACATATACAAAGTCACTGATCAGGTGTTTACAATATAGTGGAAAATTCAGAGAAATAAACGCACAATTGGAAATAGTGTCTTAAGCGCCCTGATGGGGAAATAAGGACTTTAGGTCTCAGGGGCATCTAACACAGACTTGTGATTTTGGGAAAGTTTTTAAAGTGCCTTGGGAAAGAGGAATAAAATAGGAGAAAGAAGATGTGTGGAGGGTGAGTGGAAGAACAAGTAAAGGGTTCCCGCCAGAGGGAACTCCCGCCAGAGGCAACTTCTAGTATTGTCGACCCAGATGTGATAGTTTGGAGTGTTCAGCTAATTGAAAGTGGCTTGGTAAGGACAGAAATTAGAAGTTGAGAGATGGAAATTTGAGAGACTTGAAAGCCATGTGCTAAGAGTTTGGGTTGTATAGTAAAGTCATTCATGAGCCTTTGAGAGAGTTGTTAGCTGCCATTGAGTTGGCCCCTGACCCACGCCTATACCATGTGATTGAATACAGATCAGACCGTTATTATGAAAACACTATGGTGTTTTCATTGGCTGATTTTCAGAATTAGACCACCAGACCTTTCTAGTCTGTCTTAATCTGAAAGCTCTGCTGAAACCTGTTCAGTATCATAGGAGAGGGATGCTATTGAGTTTTCCAAAGCTTTTAGTGGCTCTAGGATAGACTGTAAGGCATAGTGGATGAGGCATTTGGCTGTTAACCGGAAGGTTAGCAGTTCAAATCCACCAGTCGCTCAGGGGAAGGAAGATGGAGCGATTTACTTTGGTAAAGATTTACAGCCTGGGAAACCCTGTGGGGCTTCCTATGAATTGGAACAGACTGGATGGCAGTGAGTTTTTTTTTTTTTTTTTTTTTTAAGGCTAGACCACGGATTATAGCCAATTGGTATTAAGACTTGAAGCAGGTTTATTGCCATAGGCCAACTAAGTGATGATAAAGTGTCCTGTATAGGATAGTGGCTGCTGCTTCCTATCAGTGGCTCAAAAGTAGTGCTGATAAACGTTTGTTTAATTGAGTTGATTAGATGTGAGGGGAAGAAGATGCTACACAATTCCCTGCAAGAAGGCTGGACACCGAGGAAGGAAAAACTAGTGGAGCTGCACACAGAGATTATGCTTTAAAATTTGTACAGCTGTAACTAAGAGCTCTGGTGGCATAGTGCCTAAGGCATTTGACTGCTAACCAGAAGGCTGGTGGTTCAAACCCACCAGCCGAGCCATCCTTAGGAAGGAAGGTTGGACAATCTCCTTCTGTAAAGATACCCCCTCGAAAACCCAAGTAGGGGTCACTATGAGTCAGATCCGCCCTGAAGGCAGTGGGTTAAGACGTTAATGTAGAAGTGGCCAGTAAGTAGACTACACTGTAGACACCAGGGAAGGCTGATTAAGAAAATTTTACCTGGAACAGGAAAGAAGAAGGAATGGAACCTGGGAACCCAAGGAGGAAGTGGGAAGAGTGCAACTAATGTCACAAAATGTATAAATTATTCAGTGGAAAACTAATTCGCTCTGTAAAGTTTCATCCAAACCACAATAAAATGGTTTTTTTTTTAAAAAAATTCCTGCTCTTTCGGGGGAAGTTTAACCCTCCACCAAACCCGGTGCAGTCACGTATGTTTCTTAATTCTTTCAATCCCACACAACCCTCGTAGTACCGCTCATGCCAGTTCTTCTGCGCATGCGTACGGTCACAACGCTCAGCAACGCGGCAGAGCGCAAAAATTTTTCCATAACCCCCAGCAGCATCCGCCTCATTCGCCATAAAAAAAAAAAAAAAGGCGGGAACTAGCAAAATAGGCAGAGGAATGATGGGACGCGAGGAGCTGCACGTCCCACCCACCTCAACCTCTGATTGGTGTATATATTTGGCACGTGGCGAAAGGGCCTGTTTCATTGGTTAGACAATCTCCCCGTGAACAGGTCCCCAGCGCCAGGCCCCTCCTCCCCCCCCCCAGCTGCCGACGTGGGGCTGGCGGCCCTAGGCGGTTGGGGCCGTGGTGTGGGTGAAGAGTGGGAGGCGGGGATGGGGGACTTGAGGCTGCTAGCGGTGGCCCTCACGTGCTGCTGGTGGCCGCAGGGCAGTCAGGGTAAGACCCTAAGGGGTCATTTCATCAGTGCTGCGGCCCGAGACGCTCAGGGGCAGAGCATCGGTCACTTCGAGTTCCACGGTAGGTCCGGGGGCGAGGAGAGGGAAAGCACATGGGCCGGTCCTGCCGGCCTGGCCCGCTCCTCTCCGCCTTCCCTGGGGAGGCCTGGACCTGGCGGCGCCGAGGCCCCTCCCTGCCACGTTTGGGGAGGCTGGGCGCGCGTTAGCCTCACCTGGATTACCAGCGCCGCAGGCAGCCCTCCCCCACAGCATCTCTCCCGAATCGCAGGATGCGTTCCTTGCCAACTCCACTGTTGCTGCTTCCCAGACCTTGGTCAGCAACCTCACCCGATTAGTGATGGTATTCTGCAACTAAAAGACCATTTCCCTAACCATCCCCATACAAACGAGTGGAACAGTAACTGGTCGGCATCATCTTTTGAGATTCTTCTTTCAGAGCAGCGTGGTTTGCTCACTCCTGTCTCAGCCTGATGCTACACTAAAGCATTCTGGTTACGTGTGAATTTAAGCCAGGGAACTTCGATTTCATGTTTGTTTCCAGACCAATTTAATAAAACCTCTTGCAGCAAAGATGTTTTGGGAATCAAATAAAACACCTAATGTTCTAGTCACTATCGCAATAACAGTTTGGTTACTCAGTTACTAGTAGAGTAGATTTACTATGTGTGTATCGTGAGGCCTAAAATTAAGTTGACAACAATGACTAATTAGTGCTTTTGTAGCTTTATAATTTGTATCATCTCTGGTTCTGTTAAATCAGAGCTGCATTTGATCATCCAAAATCAATAATTACTTCAGTGGTGAACTTACTATTTCTTCTGATTTTTACTTTATATATTTGCATCCTCAAAATTTTAAATAATTTTCTTGGTACATCCTTTTGGTACTTTATAATTAGACTAGTACTCTATTTCTGGTAATTTTTACCCTCATGAGGTTAGTATTCTTGGTTCACTTCGTACAGTCTTTAGAATTAAAAGATGTTGATTATGAAGCTCAGAGGATTGGCCTGGGGAGGATTTTTAGGAGAAGTGGTAGATATTTGTAGCTATTTAAAAGGGTATAAAAGGGAATTTAAAGAATGGGGGTAAATTTCAGAATTGGTGTAAAAGGAGTACCTGATTTTCTTTGTATGTTGTTAATTTGAAGTTTTTAAGATAACAGGAAAGTAGTTGAAGCCTCGATTTCAAAATCCAGTAAGAAATATAGCTTGAGTGAATGAAAATGAAACCTTTCATTAATAAGAGTTTCATTATTTTTTTGGTCACATTTTCACTTTCTGAACTGGCTGTGACTAATGAGTACTGACAGTGACAATAATGTCACTGTAATAGATGGCACAATCTAGACAGTGCTGGAAAATCTGGGATGCATGGTAGCTGTGATAGCGATTGTTCATGACCAGCAGAGTGACTTAGATAACACCAATATTTTATGATTATCTGGTGAAACACATGTATTAAATCCAGACTCTCTAGAAAGATTGGGGAATAAGCTATTCTGAGTATATATATATTTTGTATATATGTATGAGTGTTACTACTAATATTCAGTGAATTCAGATTCAGTAAGATAACATTAAAGCTATACTGAAATGGATTTTAACTTAGGAGCCGTAGTGGCCAGTGGTTAAGTTAAGCACTTGACTGTTAACTGAAAGATTGGTGGTTCAAACCCACCAGCTACTCTGCAGGTGAAAGATGTGGCAGTCTGGCTTCAGTAAAGATTACAGCCTTGGAAACCCGATGGGGCAGTTCTACTCTGTCCTGTAGGGTCACTATGGGTCATAATTAACTCAACGGTAACAAGTATAGTTTGGTTTGAACTCAGAATACATTTTAAGATGCTGATAGGGCTTCAGAGTCATCCTACATACGATGTTTAAGACTTGATAATTTATAATGCAGTCAATTGATGTAAAAGACTTAGACATTCTTTGATATATGTTATACATTTAAATTTATTTAAAATGTTTAATCAACATGATTATTACAGTAACAAATGTAAAAAAACAAAAACAGGGGAACAGGAAATCTTAAAGAATGAAAACAACAGTCTCCTTCCTCACCTTGTTTCTGCTCTGAGCCTTACTTGTAATGGGTACATGAAACCAGGATTCTGTATTAATTTCAGAACAGATGTTGTTTTCAAAGTTCTTTTGTAAGAGTAATAAATTTTATATCAGGTATAAATGTCTGCTCCCATACTCATCAACTTAAACTTAACTAACTATGCTTATTTTTTGTATTAAAAGTATAGTTGTGTGTTAGCAGCCATGTTGTATTAGAAAACAAAAGAAACTTTCGCAGGAAGTTTCTATAGATAGTTTATGAACAAATGTTAATGACTTGTAGAGTAGATATAAAATTAGGCAAAATACAGTGAATATCCAGATACCACAGATAGTGCTATGTTCAGTGAAATGTTGCCAGTTATCAACTGAATTATAAGGAAATACCACACATTAATTTCTGTAATTAATTTGAATGAACTGCCCACTTGCATCTGAATGTGATTTTCATTATAATGTGATTTATCTAGTTAATAGCTTTAAAAAAAAATTGTGCTTTTTAAACTCCATTTTGATAAATGTTTTTAGTTGCTGTTGAGTCGGTTCTGACTGATAGCTACCCTGTGTATGACAGAAAGAAACGCTGCCTGGTCCTGTACCATCCTTACTGTTGTTCATATATTTAAGCCCATTGTTTTAGCCACTGTGTTAATCAGTCTTATTGAGGGTCTTCCTCTGTTTCACTGGCCCTCTACCAAGTGTGATGTCCTCCATGGACTGGTCCCTTCTGATAACATGTCCAAAATATATGTTATTAATAAATAGAGATGTTCAAAGAATGCTTGCTGTCTCAGTTCCATAGGAGACTAAACTCATCTATAATTTTTGTTTCAATGTCAAGGTAACCATGCTCTTCTGTGTGTCAGAATCAACAACGTAGCAGCAGCTGTTGATAAAGAAGCTAAACTCTACTTGTTCCAAGCGCAGGAATGGCTGAAGCTGCAGGAAAGCAGTCATGGTTATAGTTGTAGTGAGAAATTATCCAAAGCTCAGTTGACAGGTGAGTATATCGTTTTTTACTTTGATTATTAAATGCATTTTTTTATTTCTAAATGTTGAAGTATAGTATTTGCATACCAAGATATTTCATGTATTGTGATGACACATCACACTGTGATGCTATTTTGTTCAGTTGGTTTTAAGCTGAGGTTTAAGGAAACTTAACTTTTCCTTCATCAAAATATGGAATTCCTTTTTTCCCCCCTTTATCATTCAAAATTCTTGGGAAAAAAAAATAACGGGGTACTCTTCTTCATTCAGTCTCTTAATTCAGACACACAATTCATGCCAGCATGGCGGGTATATGTTGACCCAATGGCAACATAGAGTAGATGATACCATATGTAGAATGATTAGTATCTTTCAGGCACTGAACTAAGCACTAAACTTTTATTATCTTAGTTAATTGAGTAAATTAGCCTAAGTAATGCTGTTTTGCAGCATGTTACTAGAACAAGAAATTTAGTAATTTGGTGCAAAATGTCATTTTAAAATATACCACAATCACATCATATGTCAGCATCTGAGTTTGCCTCTAGAGGGGCTCTACTTATTGTCTTTCTCTAGTTGCTGAATCTTCAACTTATCCATTCTTATCAACACTATCCCAAGCATAGGATCAGCCATTCAGAGTAAGCACAATTTATATGTGTGTATATATATGTTGCTATGAGTCGGGGCCGACTTGACAGCAAACAACAACAACAACATGTGTACACACACACACACACACACACACAAAGATCATGTGCAGTTATACCCATGCTATCTTTAGGAAGTTAATTTGTTATGGGAGAATTAGGAATTTGAATTAGAATAAGGAAAAAAAGGAAGAGTAATTATCCCTCTTCTCCTTTTTTCCATTGTATCTCCCATACCATGATCTATGTACAGAGAAGTCTGATCTGTTAGTCTAGTCAAGTAGAACACCTCATTTCTAAACATCCTGTCATCTTAATCTTAGTAGCTATCTAGTTACCTTTTTAGGAAGCTAGCCAAAAAGATAGAAGAGTAGAGGATTCATGCCACCAGAGTGATGTTATCCAGATTGGTGTATTGGTGATACAGTGTTGAAGATGTGTTGAAGAAGTCTTAATAATTATACTTCAGATATCAAAGAGACAGTTACTAAAATATAAATACTCTCTTCAATCCTGAACTTGAGGACTTAGTGCAAGTGCTTATTACTAGCTAGCTTTTTCTTTCTACACCAATTTGTTCATCTAGTGTTCCATATACATATAAAAAGTTTTTGGCCTGTAGTTGCCAGTTCTTGTAATGTCCAAACCTGAACTCACCATCTTCCCCATTCAAACCTGATCCTCTCCCGGTGTTCCTTGTTTGAGAAACTGGTACCACCATCTAACCAATCAATAATCAAGCTAGAAATCAAGGAATCTTTTTACACTTCCCTCATTGACATTTGTATTCCCTTCTGATCTGAGGTTTTACTTCTAAATATCTTTTGAATTTATCTACTTCTCTTCATCTCTACCATCACTATATCATTCCAAGCTGCCGTAATCTATTGCCTGAACTACTGGTAATAGCCTCCTATCTGGTGGTTCCATTGCCACACTGGTCCCCCTCTATAGCCAGAGTGATCTATCTAAACATCAGATTTGATCATGTCACTTTGACTTCCTTGCCAGATGCTTAAAATATTTTAGTTGATTCCTACTGCTCTTAAGACAAAGACTGGCCTCCTAAAACTGATTGGCATAACCAACATAATGTGACCCCTGCCTACCCTTTAAGCTTTATTGCAGAACATTATACTCTTCCCACTTCATTTTATTTATTTCAGTGCTACCCTGGGCCTTTGGACAGGCTTTTTCTTCTACCTGTTCTTCCATTGCCTCTTCTGTTCCTCCCAGACCTCCTCTAATACCTGAGTTAATACCTGAGATTTTATATACTGCACAGCACTGAGAGTAGTTGTACTTCACATTTTATGTAATTGTTTTAAAATCCATCAGTGAGAGCAGTAGGACTCTTTTGGTCTCTTCATTCTCTGCACACTTTATTTATTTTTTTTCACTTGAAAATGCTTTTTTATTTATTTTTTTAAATTTGTAGTTTAGGTGAAGGTTTACAGAGCAAATTAATTTCCCGTTCAGCAATTTATATGCAGATTGTTTCAATACATTGGTTGCAATCCCCACAGTGTGTCAGTTCCACTTTGGGTTCCCAGTTCACTGCTCACTTTAAATGTTTTATGTATTATGCTATGAACTGGTAATATATCAGTGACCAAAATGCTTGACATTCTTTCAATCCTTAAGAAACTTATAGGCTATTCAAGTGACAGGAATAAATCTGATCAATGTAAATACATATGAAATTGCAATTGTGATAACTATTATGAATGTTAGTTTTATGGTACTATGAGAATGAGAACTTGAAAAATCCTAGTGTCTAGGTAAGCAAAGTCACCAAGATTTCATAGGATGTGTTGTCATAGAGCTTAGTGGTTGAAGAATTTTTGACTGTGGGCTTTGTAATTGACACCCTAAGGACTTTTTCCTTCTGTAGTAAAAACTTACCAGAAAGTTTGAACTATAGAAATCAGTTTGTTTTTTTACATGGTCAATATATACTATATACTTACAAAAACATAACTTTTGTATCTGTTGTATACCTGAATTCACAAAACTTATGTATATAGGGAGGGAGACAGTATGGAACCTGACTTTTATCTGTTCAGCAAGGAAGTTGGGCTGTGTTTCTCTAAGGTTTCCTATAGTCCTAAAATTCTTTGGTTCTAATTATAGCTCTTTAGGGTAGGAACTACTTAAATATAGGAGTATAACTTATAAAACCTCTTGCTGTTGTTTCTGCTTATGTTTTCCATTCTCTGTACAGTGCTGTAGTGTTCTTTGAAATAGTGGAATGGAAGGTTTTGGGAAGTAGAAATTTTAGAAGAACAAGCACTTTTGGGGGCCTCAAACAGATTAATATTAGTGATAAATATATCCCAAATGACAAAATCCAATTCTTAAGAAAATCTTCTTTTTCTAGCTTTTATATATTAGTTGTCATATTTATAATATATTGTTACATTGAAACAAAAAGCATATCCTTAAATTCATTACAGTATATTTATACTGTACATTTTAAAGTGGTTCCTGGTAGGATGAGGTTTTCAGAATTAATTCTTTCATCTACTTGGTATTGAACTTGTTAACCATTCCTACCTTCTGTGTAAAACATTTCTGCTGTTATGAGATATGAAAAGACTGTTGTTGTTGTTGTTATGTGCCATCAAGTCGGACCTGACTCATAGCGACCCCTCCTTGGGTTTCCGAGGCAGTATCACTATGGAAGTAGATTGCCTCATCTTCCTTCCGAGGAGTGGCTGGTGGGTTTGAACCGCCAG